ACTAAGGATAAATAGAGGTAAAACAGAGGAAGAGTTTGGAAAAATAGGACAAGACAGCTAACGGCTATAAGCGGTTATAGACGAGATTGAGAGCTATAAGTACCAAGGATCTTTTGTTATAAGAACAGTGGTTTTCATGAGAATGTGAAACATAGGATTAAGTGTGATTGAATAAAGTTGTGAGAAACATCGGGTGTTTTATGTGAGAAGGGGATTTCAATGAAACTTGAAGATAAACTCTACAAAAGTGTGGTGAATATATTGAATATTTATTTATTTATATTTTTACTATATTGAATAGTTGGGAGTGTTGGGCAGTAAACTGAGTAAACAGAATAATAGAACAAAGAATGAGTGCAGCAGGAATTCAAATTCTTTGATAGATGAATGGAGTAATTCGAGAAGATAGGATAAAAGAATAAAGATGAGTATATAAGAGGTATTTTTTTCGTGGATTCGATATTAGACAAATGAGAGAAAATAAATTGAGATGGTTGGGCATATCACGAAAAGAGAGGAAATTGAAGCAGTATGAACTGTAATGAAAATAAACATAAGAGGGAAAAGGTGGAAAGCAAGACTGAAATAAGGGTGGTCGGATGCAATTGAGAATGATATGAGGAGAGCCGGTGTATATGAGATGGGATATCGGGTCAAGTGAAAGTTCAGAACGAGAGTGATCGACTCTAAATGGTTGGGAAGTTGGCGAAGGAGAAGAAAAATATTGAGACTTCAATTATTATAAACAATTAGCAATCTAATGTTATACAATTTAACATACATGTCAATTTACATATTTTAAACTAGGAACTAAACCAACTACCAAGTAAGTAGAAATAATTATACTACACAATTATGTATTTTGTAAAATAACCTCAAGAAAAAGGGTTTATAATTTATTTTATAAATGTTGTTATAATATGTGTTGGTATTAAATTATTATTTATATAATAATAAAATAATAAAACAAAAACGAAATTATTAAAATGGTTAATACTTGTAAATAAATAAAGTAAATAAATATATAAATAAAAAATGTATCTATAAAAATAAAAAATAAATATATGAATCAATGTATTGCCTGGAGTATTATGATAAGTGTATTATACGACTGGTTTCGAATTAAAAATTCATCATCAGGTATATCATAGTCAAAATGTAAAATGCGACTGAATAGAAAAAATTAAATGAAGGAATACACTTATTATAATACTCCAGGCAACACATTGATTCATTTATTTATTTTATTTTAATATATAAACTTGTTATTTATATATTTATTTACTTTATTTAATATTTATAATTTCCATTAAATTTTTAGTCAAACTTTCTCCTTCGAAAAATCTTGGTCATACCATTGCAGTGAACTTAGTAATATAGGTAGTCTACATTTTCGATTTGTTACAAAAATATTATTATGCTTTGTTTTGTTTATTTATTTAATTATTTGATTCGTTTATTTATTTAAAAATGTATACAATATTCCTATATAAATAAAATATATTTTAATATCTACGAGTTTTGTTAATATATAAAACTGCAGTTGAATAATTAGTTTATAAATTAATTGTATAATTTCAAAATTTTTTTTCACGAAAATAATAATTTAGTGTCAAAAAACTCGCGTATAGGTGCTATGTTGGTATATTGCATAGCTAAATTAATATTATATTTTCGAGTTGTGTATACGAGGATTATTATCGTTATACTGTAGACCCGAGAATTCGTGGGCGTGTTCTATGAAGGATTTGTGGGGTTAAAACCCTATTATAAACTCTGAGTTAATGTTTTATTATTTTTTTTTTTTTTTAACAATGTACCCAATCAATATTATTTACAACAACCGTCAATCGATGTCAGTTTTTAATATTTGAATTACGCCGGAGACTAGAGATAAGTACGCCCACTTCAAAAACATTCCGTCATAAAACGTATTATTATATCTATAGATTGTTATTGTTATTGCCACCGGTAGCGCTTTTCGAAATTAATTAGGTTTTTATCCTTTTTCTGAAACAAAATATAATAATACCTACGCAATAATATCAATCATAACCTGCTATTATTAATAAAGCAAACATTTCGAACCCTGGTATGTATCGCTTTCATGTATTTTCGCATCTAGTTAATATGTAGTGGTACCTCTATATATATATTATAAAATTACAAAAAATTGAAAATTTAATAAATTATTAAATATTAATGTTATATTCAAAAATACTAATAAAACAACCAATGTTTAAATACCCTACACTAGAGTATAGGACCTATAGCATAACATAGATACGTATTCTACTTTTTTTTTTAAATAATATAGTTTTTCCAGAACTTTTCCTTTATTCATGGAATACATTTTTGGAAGTAAAAAAGTAAATAATTCAAAATAAGTAGGTATACATTTATAGTCAATATATCTATATTGACTCATATTATTCAAATAACTTAGTTTTAATATTTTGAGTTTTCAATGATTGTTTTTTTTTATATAAAACGATCCCAACGTACCTACGTCATGAATTGATTTTCATATTCTCGAATAAAAATGTATAAAATAAACAGTAGTGTAAATATATAATAAAAACATCATGAATACATTTTATTATTATTTTTATTTTATAAAAATTGAATTTGTATACAAAATGTTGTATATGAAAACAAATTCATACATTTTTTTGAATTATTAAAATTGTTTAAACTTTTAAAAATGGTAAGAAATTAAAGAATTTTTTTTCAAAATACTTAAATATTACGAATACAAAATATAAAAAACCATTCTAGGATAATGGAGACTGGTATAGCCACTGTAATAGGTAATTTAATGTAGATCTCTGAGCAATGATAAACCAGTCGATACGAATATTCTTAACTGAATAACAACAAATAACAAAATTGATAAAATAATAAAATCATTATTTTCGTATATTTCCCGTTTTTCTTACGTTTTATCCTGGTTTTTCCCATATATTATGAAAACCATTTAGAAAATCAAAAACGACCGCTTAAAAGTACCATCTGGACAGCATTCCGTTTCAGAAATGGTGCGCGTATATATCTGAGCAAGATTTCTGGTAACATTTTTGTACATAGTATAAAAAGAATAAAAAAATAAATAAACATCTTAGTAAAACCAATACATTCTTCGTTTCACTCAAAATCTAAAACATCGTAAACTATCGTAATAATTACTTTAAAAATGTTCACATACATCAAATATTAATATTCACACATATAATAAATAAGCCTATATAAAATGTAGAATAAGAATAAGTATATCGACAATTGAAAAATTTCCGTTTATTTTAATAATTGTTTTAGTGTAAAAACGAGTAAAATTAAATAGTAAATGTTTATTAATCATTTTTGTGTTCTAATTTCTGGAAAACAACGTAATATGCTAAATAGACGAGAATAACTTCCCACAGTCCTCATTAGCTAAAAAAAACTTCCTATCTTTATCCGTTTGGAAACTTATTTCAAAAATATACTCGCTTACACAACCAGCGATGAAACTAATATATAAATGTCAAGAACATACCTTTGTGTTTACGATTTACTATTAAAAAAAAATGTCTGATGCAACAATGGTTTCTAAATGCATATAATATTCTACTTCGAAACTATATATTTATCAAAACTTTCGACTAAGCCAGTATTATAATAACATTACACATTATAACACAGTTTATAATGTCTTGATCATATTTTTTGAGAAAAAATTTCAAAATGTGTACTTGTTTTAAACATTGTAGGTAATTATAGATACAAATATTTAACAATACATTTTAAAATAAGTCGATATCGCTGCCGATTGTTCGACATGCACCTCTGAATTGGAAAATATTTGAATCTACGGGAAAAAGATTATAGACAGTTTCCATATAATAACAAAATTTAAATAAATTAGACTTATTTTTTTAAATCAGAAATAGTGACTGAATCACCCATATATAAGTATTAAAAGTACTTATGGAAAATTACACATTATTATTATTTTACTTTTTCATTCTATTATTATTTGATAACGTGTGTTTTAAGACGAAATGGAGAATAATTCGACAGTAGTGTAATTCTTTCTAATTTATAAAAACAAATAAATAAAATAAAAGCTATGATGGAAATAAAACCGTTTTAAAGTAAAAAACTTTCGGGATTATAATTTATAAATCATTAAATGGCTACGTGGCTTTTGTAAGCCTTTTAGTTTTGATCAAAAATGTAATAAGGTTTATTCAAAAAATTATACATAAATAAATAAACAAGCATAATCTATTGTTTAAATCGAACATATTTTATTTAATAATTAAAGAATTCGGGGTTTTCCAAATTTTCTATAATTTTTGAAAAATTTGTATAATATACCTTTCAATGGTCATCCTAATGATAAAATTATTTCATTTATCTACGATCATTTTTACTAAGTTTTCAGCCAATTTGCTGGAGTAAAATTCACCAACTACCGTTCATTTAATCTTAATTTTAAAAACATATTTAGATTCGTAAATTTCTTATCAGTATATTATAAACATAATTGAGCTGTTTTTTTTTATTTAGATATTTAAAGTAAATATATAATAAGTTGACCTTATTTTCTTAAGACAAACTTGTTCTTATGTGTTAACAAAAAAATAAAAAATGAAAATATTTTTCCAACAAAGAGTAAAGAGGTATACAAAGTCATATTATTTTAAAAACAGAAATTGGACTACTGAAACTTGGAAGTTTATTTAATTTACTCGAGCATCTAACTTATTAGTCTAATGTATACAAAAATAAATCGCTTTTAACTATATAAAAGTAGCTCAAAAACAGTGAGATTAATATAATGTGACAAATTAAGCGACTAAAAATATACCAATACTAATAGTAAACGTATTTAAATTTTGAGCACCACTCAATATTACCTATTCATCTAATATAATATTTTCATGTTTTGAAATCAAGATCGAATTTTTAATAAGATAATACATTATATGTTAGGTATATACCTACCCGCTCCCAGTTTTGGTAAGTAAAGCAATACGAGTAAGCACCCCACAACACTGAAATAACTGTCAGACTTCGTTTTTATTAATTTCGATTTTGAACATTACCATGTAATATAATACGAATAAGAACGTTTTTTCCCCCGGAAGTTTTTCGCGATATCATGCAAAGTACTTAGTATTATTACTAGTATTTATTTTTAAACGTAAAATATATTAACGTAAGACGTAGGTAGAAAAGTACGAGTACCTACGTTTTTTGTTAAAAGATCATAGATAAAGTGTTCTTGGATAACAAAACTCATCGAGTAAACATAATAATATAGAGATTACGTGGAAAATTTAACAAAAAAAAAAAAAAATACCCAATGTTTACTTAATTAAACTTAGTCTTTCTGAGAATATTTATTTTTTTGTTCATTAAAAAAAAAAACTACATATGATTCAGATGAACCATTTGTTCTTATTACGCACAAATTCAGTCTTGACATCATGTAAAATACATATTTATTTTTTGTTGATTTTATTATAATACCAAATTCATAGTGTAACGCGCTGAATTAAAATCTGAAATATACTCGTCTTTACCACGACTAGTTTTTATACAAATTCGATGCAAAAAATATATGTTATATAATATATAATAACAAATTAATTCATATAAAGTAATCACCAGATTACAATAAATATTAAAATATAAACAAAAATAATATATATATAAGATAATTTATTTTTATTTGTCACAAATGTTGTGTATAAATGAAGTTGTTTTTAAGTGTACTCAATATTGCACGCAATTGATTAAGTACTTGTATAATCATATTAATATAAAATAAAAAATATGTAACTAATAAAAACAAATTCTCAAATTAGGATATTAGTATATATAATAATAATAATAATAATATGATGATGATAATATGGTCATTACCTATGTGTTTTTATCTATAATTTATTTTTCTGTTATATGTAGAATATAATATATATTTTCCATACTCCAAATTTTATTAAAATTAATAGTTATAAAGACAAAAAAATTTCAGATTCGAGTTTGGTGCTTTAAAATCGATAAAGATAGCATATCATAATACAAACTATCAACAAAAAAACACAAATATTTCGAAGGACTGAGTATTAAACGACGTGATTGACTATAATTTAATTATATTGTCAGTATATATAATTGCAGTACAATGTTAATACATTTAGATAGAAGAACCAACGGCAATTATTATGAAAACGCGGATCAATATAGGAATTATAATAATATTTTATTCATACAACGACAGCTGCTGAATTAGTTGGCTTGTTGACGTGATCGCTGGACGTGATTCGTATTCCAAATTATTACGACTGAACAAGTCCTTTTGGTTTTGTTTTGTTTTTTATTTTACACAATTGAATATATTTCCAATAACATAATCTATAAACGAGATCACTAATGTCAATGTATGTTTTGTATTTGAAAACACTGAATATCAAGTGCGGCGCTGAAGCAAACATTTAATATAATAAAATAAAGTAGTGTATGTATAGGACTAAATTTATACAAATTGAGTCCTAAAAAAAAAGCTGATACTGGTGACGAGTATTATTATTGTAGTAGGGAGTTGGGAAGTTAGGATAAATTAAACATACTTTATACCTATAATGTATTACGTGGTTTGGACATATAAAATGAAGATAGGTAACAAACATAACTAGAGAAACTATCGAATGGCTACCAGAAGGGAAGAGACCAAGAAGGAAGCCAAAGAATGGGTGGATTGATGGCATACGACAAGACCTCGAAAAAAACTGGTAGCTACAAACTGGAAAGAAATGATCCAGAATCGTAGAAGTTAGAATAAATCACTAACAGTAGCGGATGATGATTAATGATAATAATGATGAACATACCTACAATAATTTAAATTGTATTGATTTATGGTGTAGGTAAACCTTTTGGTTACACGGTTACAATTTGTTTTTATATAAACAGTTTGATTATTTATATTAATTTGGTTGTCACGGGCCACGCGACGTCATGACGGGGACTAAGTGTTTAACAAATGTATTTAAATGATTAATTCGACGATATATATTACCTCGATAAAGCTTGGCTTAGATAGTTTCAATTCTTAACGTAATAAAAGCACAATTTAAAAATGGATATAAAACCACTAGAAGAAATTGTAGTGAACAGTAGTTATTTATTGCGATTAAAATATTGGTTTAATATCTATGACCTATTGAATTATGTACCCTGCAATAATTTGTTTTCCCCTCAAATATCTAGTTTATATAATTTTCCATTAATGTTGTTTTTTTTTTTTTTCATTAATGATTTTAAGTATATTATGTATAAATAGGAGGTTTAGGAAGGCTTAACCCTCCCTGAGCCATCTTAAGCTCTCCCTAAGATATTTTAATGCACAGGTTATCTTTATTATAATAAATTATCTAATTTATAATCAATGATAATAGTTATAAATATAATAACAGTAATAATATTATACATGTAAATTTTCATTGAATTTTCGTTTTAACGTTCCAATTAGTGATAAGTGGAACCAACTAGTTTTGATTTCGATTGTTAATCAATAGTTTAAAAATATAACCGAGAGATTCATCGATTGAATAGATATTTGTATTAGTCAATTGTTTTGAAAACTATCAAATGAATCGATAGTTTTCATTCAGTAGTAGCACTGACTAGTTTTTACTATCGATAGTTTAAAACACAACCTAGTATTTTTTCGACTCAATCGATATTATCAAAAGAATAAACTACTCGATAGTTCGAAAGTCAATAGTTTTCTTTCGGTAATATTGGCAACGATTGTTTTACAAAATAATCGAGTATTTTTTCAACTGAATAGATATTATCAATGGAATGAAGTACTTTGAAAGTCCAATAGTTTCAATAGTCGATAGTTTTTAGAAACATCTATATTGATAATTTATAACTATCGAGTAGTTCAATAGTTTTCACTCAGCAGTGCCTAACACTAGTTCTAATGTTCCATAAACTATGATCAGTTGTCGTCCAAACGTATCGTCGTGCAGCCATGCGGGTGTCGTAGGCAGGTATAATTACGCCGCGTCCTCCAAATATATAAACACCACTAATAATATTTATTACGCATGAAATATATTTACCTATATAATAAACTAAAGTTTTGATATAGGTAATTTTGACCTATAAATAGACTTTACATTATTATTATTTAGACCGGTGGTCCTTTTGGGCTCAAGTCCTATGTATTTGAGGCCCCTATTTACGTCCACGTGTATACCAATCGTAGACATTAATATTAAAATTGTTAAATAGGTATTCGTCAATGATATTAAGAGCAAATAAGTTACACATAATATTATGCCAGTATAACCTTTCTCAGCTAAAACTACACTCGAAATATAATTTAAAAAGGTAATAAAAATACGATTATCGCGAGTTTTCACTATTAAAAAGGTCAGGTTAAAATTACACTCGACATTATAAAATTAATGTGTCAAAATTATGTCAGAATTAAAAGGACAAGTAAATGATAAACAAAATAAAGCAGTGTAAAACTGAAAAAAAAAACATGAATATAAATTAATTATGTAAATTGTAATTTTTTTTTTTTTGACAAACTATTTTGCTTTTTAAAGTAAATCACAGTGTATACTTGAAAATAATATTCGTACACTGTCATCAAGATTTTTCTGTAGAAGATATTAAAATACAGCATTACTTTTGGAACTTTTTTCACAATAATTTTAATTGTAAAACCAAAATTATTATAATCATTATTAGTTCGACTTTATTAAATATTATACTATTATAAAATTTTAAAAAATGAATTAAAACTAAAATATTAATTATTCTCTCGAAATAATTTAATGGTAATATATAATATCCAACAACAATATCGAAACACGTCTACACAATATAACATTTTAATTAACCAAACCAGCGTAAATCAAACATATAGTTTTTTTTTATCCCGAATTTCCAAAAATGAAACCCTTTAAATACAATAATTTGTAAATTGTACTTATATTAGTCAATCAAATACATTTTGATTCGGATAATGCTTAAACGGTTGTAGGTAGGAAATATATTTAGCTAGTATAACGAAAAAGACGAATCAACCTTATAAATAAATCAACAAATTCATAATATTGAATGTATACACTATACCTATATTAAGGTGTTCTAGCCTAGATTAAGACACTTAGAGGACTTAAGGTCAAAATGTTCAATGAGGCCATCAAAAAAAAACAATAAAAAAAAATGATTACATAATATATTTAAAAAATAATAAAAATAATACATAATAGGGATCTATTAATTCTCACAAGAGGTCAACGAAAAATTATTAAAAACAATAAAATATCGAAAAATACAAAGTTAATGATTAAATGCATAATTAAAGAACATAAACATATATATTATACTATTATATACTCTGGTAAAAAAACAGGAGCTGAATTCTTATGGCTCTGGAGTCATTACTCTCCTGGAACCCTCCCCCCTTTAATTCAAATTTAAGGGTAATAAATTTATGTTAAATTTTATCTTGACTTTTATATAGGTACCAACTTGATTAATACGTTTAAATATACGTTAGGAAAAAAGAAATTATCTCAAAACAAACGAACAAATTAGTTTATTCAATTGAATCTGTTAAACTTTTGGCAACTTCCGGTAATTGTGTTGATGTCTTATTCTTTATAAAAGGAAAAGGTAATGCATTTTCTTTTGAACACGATTAGAATCCACACTCACACAAGTTTAACAAATTTGAAACAATGTTTTTTTTCTTTTATTCTTTTGTTCCGTTTATAAGATATATCTTAATGATTGGTTGTTAATTTATATTTCATTGTTTTATACGAAATATAATTATATTATCTTTTTTTTATAGAAACTAACTTATTTTATTACTATCTATGTTTGCCTATACTCAATTCGTGTTTTTTTGAAAACTGACTAATTCGAAAAATTTTGTTTCATATAATTTGATTTTTTAGGCTTAACGTATATTGTGAATATACGTTTTAAACAACTACGAGAAATGGATTCACAGAGCACAATTTTTGTACCGCAGATAGACGAAATACTTGTGTAATTTTATTGTAGATCTAACCTTTGTTATGAAATTCGTATAATATTACGAGATTTTCGGTGTAGCTATACGGAGATTTGTTGTTTTCCATTACGCTCAATTTGAAACAAAACACATTTTATCTAAACCGATTATTTGACCACTCTAATTCAATTTACAGTAAACATTGATTACGGACTAGAGTTTTCGGTCACATAACCCAACTAACGTAGTCCGTCGTCGAGATTGACGAATGCGTATTGTGTTCATCATTTTGTACGCGCTTTAAAGGATAAAGAGAAATGAAAAATCGAAGGATTTATTAAATGCGATTTATTTTCGCGTAATTTTGAAGCGTTTTATATATAACCAGACGAAAAGATCGAGTGTATAAAGATGTTTATCTCAAAAGCATTAACGATTTTTTTTTTTTTTTTTTTTTATACACGCTTTACTTTTGTTTCCTCGTTTAGACAATATATTAATCAACATATAATAAAATTAAAGGCAGCAAAAGGCGAGAATAATATTTTCATACTTGGTTTGTTTTCAGAGATTTTATAATATATATGTAGGTAGAGTATGGAAAAAAAATGAATTTTAAATATATTGATTAATGTTATAAAATATAAAAAATAATTGATTAAAATTAATTTTTTTTTTATTTCAATTTGAAATGGATATAATAATTTTGTTTTAAATTAGAACCTACAGTAAAAGAGAAATAATTACCATGCTTTAAATTAAGAAATTCGTTTATTGAACACAGGTACCTACGAATACCTTTTGTCAGTCGCAAAATAATGGTTAGGTATTGCACAAAATGTTTCAAAGTAATAATTATATTATTTCGATTCACTTCCGAAGAAAAAGTGTAAGCTTTATTATGAGCAAAGTGAGGCATACTATATTGATTTTACTATAATGTATGCTTATTTGTTTTTATTTTTTGTGTCTGTCAATTTACAACTTTTATGGCGGAAATATTAAAAAAAAATGTCAATATACTTTTTTTGAGTATTTTAATTCTAATTAGTGTATGAGAAAATTATTTTCGCAAGCATTTTTCATAATAATTAGTAAAATCCAGGAAAATTGTACGAGAAACGAGAAAGTTTACGACAGTAACGGTTTCATTATTTTTGATTTAGTTTTAGATTCTGAGCAGAACAAGGAATGTATTTGTTTTACAGTGATGATTATTTTATTTTTTTTTTTTTATTCATGAACAACTTTCTAACAGCAATTTTGCTCCAATTTTTCCGATTAAGCAATTTTCTGAAATTAAATTAGACTGGGGTGGTACTTAAAAGAGGTTATTTTTTTAATTTCCCAGCTGTTTTCATAATAAATTAAAAATAATTTAAATTATTAAATAAAATATATGTAATTATTTTACATATACATTATATATTGTTGATAAAGCAACACTATTAACCGAACTCCACTCTAAATCGTATTTCATTAGCAATGGCTAATTGTTGCGTACAGATATATATTAAATTTCTTCTCTACCTTCCTAACTTTTCAACTTCTAAAAAGGCCTATCCATCTTACGAAGTATGTCCTTATCTTTTTTAATTATAAAAAAAACATCTGAAAACTGCAATATCAGTCAAGCTATAGAGTCTAAGGGCTTACGTGCAACCTGTTTTGTTATTTTAATTTGGTCAAAAATATTTGTAGAGATCTGCAATTTTCAAAACATTCTATAGATATTTTAGTTATTTACAGGTATTTGACATTTTAAAGTTATCAGTTTTTATTTAGTTTTATGTGGATAAAATTGTTTTATATGAATTTTTGAACATTTTCTTCGAGGTTTATCATAAGTTTTAATTAGTGGTGAAAAAAAAAAGCTAACAGCGTAATTAATAGTTATTTTTTTATACGCGTTTAAGGTTCTAATATTGACGAAAATCATAAAAACATCATATTTCACTTATTTTTATTGTATACATATACTATTAGTTAGTATAAACTTCTTTTTTATAACCTTCCATTGTGATCACGCCATATAGTTAAGTAGGTAAGTGAAATATCGTTATGAATCGGTCATTGCTAAAACTGTGATGTATTTGATTTGAAATAGCTATAGGTATATGCTATTCCTTTGCACTTGTGGCTTTACAATGAAACAAAATAATAGAAGTTGCAACTTACGAATTTTAAAAACAACCTCTACCCCCAAACACACGGTAAGTTGACATAGAAAAAACCACATAAAACAATCATTTTACGCATGTTTGCAGTGTTGTCCGAACGTCAAAATATCGATCTCCGATAAAAAACACATACATTTTTAATAGCGCGTCACTCATATTACAGAATATATGTATGTTTATAAAATACACGCATACGACGTTGTACAAATAATTGAATATGTATAATAGTGTTTTTTTTAATCATAAAGGGGCCATGCCCCCCTAAGATATTTTGGTCCCCGTGGACCCATACAAATTATTGGTAAACTTAATTTTCCAAAAAATATATAAGAATATCCGTATATTCGTTTAATAAATAAATTAATACTAAAATACATAAATAAATAATATTCCCAACAAGTCTATATTCTATATTATTGACTTATACATGCAGTAAGTCTTGCCAAGGGTTTTCCACGACTCGCAGCTATTAATTATTATAACCGCCTAAGTTTTAACATGTTCCAGAATTTGAAATAGGTATCTAAAGAAAACATTATTATCAGAATTACTATAACGAAAAGCGTTAATTTCATGTTCACTCTGTAATAAATAGGTATTTTATGATGGTATGAGACTACTGATTGTAAATGTATTTAAAAGTGAATTTGAATATTTTCTAGATTTTCTAGTCGATAAATTTTGAATTTTTTCTTAACAGTATACAAAATACTAAAATGGATTATAAAACTTTCCACTCGAGAGCAAGACAGTGATAGGGGAAAATGCCATTAAGGGAGGAGCCTTCAACGATTTGAACCAAATAAGCCACAGGCCCGCGTGCCTTTTTTGTGTTCATACGTTATAGTTAGTTTTGTACATGAATAAATATTTTGAGTAAACACCGTAATACCCCGTAATTAACTACAAGTAAATTACAAACCCAAAATTTTTTAACAATATTTTAGATTTTAGGTGAATCAAGGAATGTATTGGTTTTACAATGACCTTTATTTTATTTTTTTTGTAGACAACTTTTCTACCGGCAATTTCGCTCTGATTTACAATGATAGCAATTTTTCTAAAAGTAAATCTGACTTGGAAGGTACTTTAATGAAATCATTTTTTTGATTTTCTCAGAAGTTTTCCCAATAAATGGGAAAAACCTGGTAAAAACCGGGAAAACGAGAAATAGGTATACTATTAAACAAAATATACAATGCATATGTAAGTATTTTATAACAAAATAATACATTAAAACAAAATTATTAAATGGTTTATACTTGTAAACAAATATATAAATATATTAGTAAATAAATAAATGAATGCATTACCAGGAGTATTATGAAATGTGCATTGTACGGCCGGTTTCGAATTAAAAATTCATCATCAGGTAAAATAACAAAATCAAAAATTAAAACACGACTCCAAGTATTTTACTATAATATGACATATATATATATATATATTGTTGACAGAGCAACACTATCAACCGAATTCTGCTCAGAATTGTTTTTTTGTTAGCAATGGTTTATCGTTGTTTACAAATATAATTAAATTTTCTCCTCTATTACTTTTCCAACTTCTTACTTATAATAGTGGCTACACCCAACCCCATTATCCTAGGATAGCTTTTTTTATATATTCGTATAACAGTGTAATATTTTAATTTAATATTAAATTTCTCCAATGCCAAGGTAATTTATGGTGTATTGACACCGAAAAATGTTTACCGGGTAAATGCTCATCACTAGTTATATACCCAGTACAACACAAACGTTCGTCCGATTATACGCTCCGGCGAATAACCAGACAACTGTGTTATTTGGTTGATGGGCTGATAATTTGTATAGTATTGTCGAATGAGATTTATATCTGAGCGTATATTATTCGGTCGAGATGACAAATTTATGACAGTGGGCGATTATTATTATATCATCATCATTGCCATTGTAACCACGGAAATTACAACGATATATAGGTGATTAGGTGATTATATATCAGTGGCGTAGCCAGTGCTGCAACCAGCGGGGATTAAGTAGTAAGAAGAAAAATAAAAGCACATCACAATAAAACCAATAAAATCTAAAATCTTAAAAAAAACTAGTAATTTTCAAATAGCTACAAAAAACCTTAAAAATTGCCTAAATATTTTGAATATTTTACCACGTCTAATATAATTCTATATATTACTACTGGTATAAGTATTCATTCAAACTTTCAGTCCCCTACGATTATTTTCTAAATAGGTTTTTATATAGAAACCATTATTGTATAATTATACTCGCGTTTTTCAGGTTTCCCGCCTAAAAATGTATTATAAATATCAAAAAATACCTCCTCGTGTACCAACCAGAAAATAAATTCTAACAGCATTTGATAATAGAAGAACAAATAGAAACATATTTATTTTTGCACTATCGAAAAATATTTCGCAATATTTTGAAAAAATAAAAAAAGCCTGATGAATGGTTTTAGTGGTTGAATCTCTAAAACCTGTCTCTGGCTACATTACTGGGTAATTATGGTATTACACTGCACGTTTACTATTGCAGGTCAGTCAGTGGGTCTGAATGACTATACAATATATTCGCTTTTTTAAAATTGATACGTCAGTTTTTAAAATAAAATATTCTTACCAGGCTACTATTATTTTAAGTCACACGTATACAAATTGAAAAACAATAATACATTGTTTGAATCCGGAAATACGTCTTACGAATATAGGCCAACGATCTACAACTTAGTGTACTATTATATTATAAGTTACATTATCATTTGTTGAAATTGAAAGCAATGCGATCAATCATCGGATTCAATAAACACTTCAAAGCTTAACAAATTTTAACATTTTAATGCGATTATTTTATTTTATTTATTTCACTTTTCTAAACTGCAAGTAGTTATTTTTCAGATTTATAAAACCTGCGGATAAATTCGAAAAACAATTTTAAAGAAGCTATCCTAAAATAATGGGTACGGGTGAAGCCATAGTATAGGTGAGAGGTTGGGAAAGTAATAGAGGAGAAATTTAATGTATATTTGTAAGCAACGATAAACCATTGCTAACGAAAAAAACGATTCTGAAGATTACCATACTATGGTAAAATAATTACATATGTACTAGGTATATATTTTTTTAAATAATATTTGTTTAATATTGTCCATATTTTCCCATTTTTCCTCCGTTTTTCCAAGTTTTTTTTTTCAATTTATTGGTAAACTCCTTATCAAAAATAACCTCACTAAAGTATCTCGCCAGTCAAATTTTCTTCCAGAAAAAGTACTATCGTTGTAAATCAGAGCAAAGTTGCTGATAAAAAATTTGTCCACAGAAAAAAAAATAAACATCATTGTAAAACCAATACAGTCCCTTTTTTGCTCAGAATCTAAGAATCTCAGAATCTACTACACTTAAAAATAGGAGTAATATTTCTATTAGACAATTGGTTTTGATACAAAAAACAATAAACAATGGCAAAATCAATGAATTCATCGCTGCTTTCAGATTCTAAAAGAAAGAAAAGAGCTGATAGGGTCCTAGAGTCAAGTGTTCCACCGTTGTAGTTCATATTTTGTCACATGTAATTATGTTTTTTTTCTTTCAACTAAATTACAATAAATATATTACTAAATAGTTGTGCATAGTTTCATATTTGTTTCTCATATAATTCAACTGATTATTTCAGTATATAGTATAAAAGATTAAAAAATATATCGTTATTTGTATACAATACTATGTAATTATTAATCATTGATACTAATTTCAATGCAGTTTTATGTTTTTACTTAGGTACCTTATCTGTAGAGAACGCGTTGAAATCATTGCCCTCTAGTGAAAACAGTTTACCGCACTCACCATCTGGACAACACGCGAAGGGTATAATTTTCCGGCCGAGACGGTGGCCTTTGGAACCCGATCTTTTTGTTGACACCGACATTGCATATAAAATATACAATACACCATCGTTGTCAAAATGATACAATATACTCGTAAGACGATATTTCCGACGGAAAAATTATAATTGTTTTTCTTTAGTGTTTAGCTCCAAAACGCACGATGAAAACAGTTATAAAGAAATCAACAATAAATATTTGATTCTTGATCGTATACTCAATATTAGATTAGTGCAGTTTCGTACTCATCGGGTTAGGACTGGATTAAGGGGAACTAGAAAGACAAGTAGCCCTGGGTCGATAAATGCGATGGAGGTTACAAGTTTTGTCTCTTTCTTTTTCAATTCATGTAAATCATTTAAAAATAATCCAATTTTTTATATCATACAGTAAAAGATGTGAATTGTTTTCCCATTATTACTATTTGAAACATTTATCGAGATTTTTGGAAGATTTACTCCTTAAGTCCTTTTTTTTTTTTTGTTTTTTGAATCTATAGAAGAGTACATCACGTAATAATATTATACTAGTATATAATATAATAATTGCCGTTATGACCAAAATAAATATATACTGAATACAAATTAATAAATGCGAGTTTTAAAAAAACAATTTTATGCAAAAGTACTTCGCCAAAAGTATTTAGTTCCTTTCAGACTATGATCATAATCCTACCCTGCGTCGAGTTAACCATCAAAACGAAAGCTGCCGGTACTCATAATTTTATTCGGAGGCAGAATATCTAGCTATACCTGCGGCACACTGTTTTGAATGCATTATTCGTATAATTGGGAAGGGTGCCACCGGTGTTACACGAAGTCACGCTAACCCACAAAAAATTATGCCGAGGTCAAAAATGTTTATAGTCGTGGAAAATTCCGCATATAATATTCGTTTTTATAAATATTTTTTTATCGATACCGCAGTAATATTATATTATAAAGGCGCATAGCAATCACGCAATAAACGCACCATTGCCGATCTCAATCGCCACCCAAAAATGTTTATCCACGGCCGTACCGAATAATATTCAAATTATAATATTACCCCAGAGTATTGTTAAGTTAGCGAATTACAGTATAATGTATATTTTATAATCGTAACGACTAACGTTTGTATTTGTAATTTTACTCGTATAAACGTACGAATGTTTCTTTGATCTCATATAGCATAAATAGTTACCTGCAGCACCATACGCTGGAATAAACAATTTGAACCCTACGGGTGTACTTACTTTGAACAGAGATAGTTTCAATTTTATTTAAAGTTACCATTTTTTTACATATTATACAGTTGTACAATACAATACGCATATTACTAATTTTCTATTACATAATTACACGATTATCTGCACTAAGAATATTGATTTATTTCCATGTCACTTTTTATACCACAACGTACATTACACGCTGCAACATTTTGCACTATAAATTGCACTTCACAATAAATACTGCACGTAAATAAAATCCAATCTCGACTATTTGTGGAATATTTCTTCGATTTTAATGATGTTTAAGTTGAATATGATATTGTTACATGGGTGATAATCGAGCCTCGAGAACCTGTCTCAACGATTTTTCCGTGCCTTTAGCAATCCTTTAAAATTCATCGAAATTTACTCCGAGCACTTACACTGTCTGTAGTAGGAATAATTATTATCAAATTTTGGACTTTGCAGTAATAGGTACACGACCACGACATTTATCGACGGCATATATTGTAGTACAGTTGGCACCGGACCATTTTAATCAATTCGTTTTTGCCAAACGGTCGGAAATAAATTGACAACAATACAAAAGTCGAAACCGAATCTAACGATAAAGTTACATTATTAACAAGTTAACGAGCCACTTGCTCCACAGTGTCATCCAATACAATATATAAGTCCAATAAGTTCAATCGAATAATGGAAAAATGTATGCATATAAAAATATTTATATATATCGTGTACCATGAAAATTTGTAGGTTTTTCATTAAAATACAATTTGCTCACATTCTCTCCTTATTGTGTTTTCAACTCGTAGGTTGGTTTACAGTTATTTTAAGTCTTTACGTCAACCAATAATTTATATTTTATTTATTTTAGGTCCTTATACAATACGTATCTTTTTCCAATTGTCCTATGAAGGACATGCGTGATCAGAACAATTATCAGAACGATGACTCATTATGATTTAAGGAAAAAGAACAACAGGACTTTTTTCTCATCACTTTTATTTATCACCAAAGTTTCGTATCCATAGATCACAATTCTCAAGAGTTAATCGTGTTACACTCTATAATTTAAATACTATATATAGTTTGTATTTGATATAGGTCACAAAATGCTTGTATTTGATAATTATTTGTAATATATGTAGTTCAAAAATCAAAATCCAAAGCTCGTCATATGATATCTGTTTTTTTTTAATACTCGTAAATAGTGTCGAAAAATAAATCACATAGTGTCTTTTCTATTAAAGCCGCGAGCTTTTTATAATTTATTTTTGACCCTTTATGAAGAATTTAAGTAGAAACCCCTGTTTTTATCCCCGCAGGAATCCCCGTAGTGTGTATATTGTTTTGTCTGACAAAGGATTTTGTACACACTAACATATATACATATTGTATACACATACTATAGGTACTCGCCGATTCAAAAATGATATTTCGCAAAATTTTCGCCACACTGTACAGGCGCATATAATAATGTTGTTTTCATTTTTTTTTTAATTATGTTATGGTAATATGGGTATAGTGCATATCACTCGGCTAAATGATAATTCCATTCCAAATTGTCAATTACAAATTGTATTACCCGGTCATATAATGTTGATACCTGCTGCTGTATAATTAGGATTTTTAACGACAATTTTTTTTATAATTTTAATAAAGAAGACAATATTTAACTATACTATTTTGTCAATAGTTCAATTAATTATAATTTATAATATTCCCGCTTCTTTGAAATCAATCGTACATATTTGGCAAAAAAATTGACGTAATTGCTGTATCTATAATTCACTTTGATAATTCAAAAATGTTCTATCAATAAGCAAAGAATTTCGAAGAACTAGTATCAATTCAGCACATACTTTAATTTTTAAATTCGCTGAGAAAACAAGAAATAATATTTTATCGATGGTTTGAGTATTTATTTTGAATGCAACGCACACGAACCTATACTTAACAAATTCCCATTCCCAAATGTTTCACTATAAATAATACTAAACTTATTACCTATATACCTGAATAGAAATCAAATATTTCAGGAAATCACATATACCATATACCTTTTTATATGTGAAACTTTTCAAGTCGAAATTTAATTCTATATGCATTATACAAATAATGTATTGAAGTTGAAAATTCGGAGTAAAAATATCTAATATACAATTTCCACTAAAATAAAAATATGAATTCACATAAAATCGATTGTTTTTAAAAACCATTCGATTAAAAACTGTATAAATAAATATACTTAAAACTTATATTATCATCATTGTAATTTTTAAACGAAAAAATAACATCAAACTTTTAAGTCTTATAAGGATTTTACATTGGTTTTTCTAATAATATATAATTGTTCTTATAATACAAAATTGTCCGAGTCTCGTAAAATACAATGGCACATACACGAAAGTTTTGCGAAAACTGTATCAATTTGGTCATTATATTATAATCAATTTATCATCAACACAAACGTCTGCTGCAGTAATGTTCAAAATGTTTATTGTTATAACACAACTTTTTATCTAACTATATGAAATGTACAATAATATTATATAAGGTAATTATTTTATCGTAAACCATTACCATTATTATATTTCCCTATTTTTCCAATTTAAAATCTAAACTGTTGTAACTTTTGAATGATAAATCCAATATAATATTTAGTGTTAAGCTTACCAACATTTTAAAAAAAAATATTGTAGTCTTTGTTCTAAATAAGGGAGGGGATTGTCATTTGAAAATCTAAAATTAATACTCATGATAGATAGGGGTGCAAATTTGAAAATAATGTAATATAGAGAAGACAAAATACCTATATAGCATATTTACGAGAAGTTTTATTACTTCTGTATTAGGACTAAAATTAAATTAATATAGAATTATATGCTTTTTCTATAATTTACAGAAAAAATAAGTCATAATAACCGGTTGTCATTATAACCAAAATGACGGAAAAAAAATTTCTAACTTCAATACATATAAAAAAAAAGTAAAGATAAAAACATTTAATTATTTACATACATATTTAAATTAATTAATTAAATTATTATTTTTTAAAATTAAATTTACTTAAATTTACAACATTGTGTTAAAAAAAGTCTGTTATTTTAGATGGAACTTAGTTTGTATAAAAATCATACTCTATTTTTTTTTCTAGTTCTTCAAAATTTGTTTTTGCACTTTTATTAATTAGAATCATATAGTTTGCTAATATTTCTGCTACATTGAAAACTACACTGATAGATAAATCTTCATCGGGAGTATTAGCTTCTTCACTATTATCGTCTTCCTCGGATCCTTCGGATTGGTTAATCAATAAAGAAATAAATTCTTGATCACTTAACTTAATAGTTCTGTAGTTAGCACACTTCATTATCTTCTTTTTCTTCTTAGACCGCTTGTTATGGCATTGCATTATTGAAACCAACGTAACGAAAACAATTTTGAATTGTAATCTCTGATACTTTTTTCCAAGCTTTACATATCAATAATATACCATCTAATAGGCTGATATTCGTTTAAATTTTGTTTTCAATATTATTGATCATTTTTAGCACCAAACTTTTTTGAAAATAAGTTTTCATACATTTTATTACGCCTTGATCCATTAGTTAAATAACAGACGTACAATTACTGGGTAAAAATACAAGTTTAATATTGCGTAATGCTACAGTGCAATGTGCTGGACAGTTGTCAACTAAGAGTAAAATATTTTACTTAATATTATTGTATATTGCCTAATGTCATTTTTAATCTATGTACCATACTTTAAACGAATCTAATAACTTAAATTAACTTCTAGTATCATAATTTATAATTTTAACTTAACGAGTATAACTGATAAAATATTTTCCATAGTAATTTATACATTTGGGTAAACTATTTGCTATAACGTGTGAAACATTTTAGTATTATTTAGTTTATTTTAGATTCAGAGCGTAGCGAGGGTGCTATTGGTTTTACTAAGATGTTTATTTATTTTTTTTTCTTCTTTCTTTCTTCTAGTCTATGTACATGTTTTTTTCTAGTAAACTTACTCCAATTTTTACGTGTAACAATTTTTCTAAAAGCTCAAATTGTCTGGATGATATATTAAAGAGATTATTTTTTAAATAAAAGCACTTAAGTGAAGAATAAAAGTAGAAAAACGTACAATTTCACGATTTTATTATTTTATAAAAACACGGACGTTTTCTACCAGGAAAAATGATTTAATCGTAAAATCACAATACACCTTTTTTGTTGCCTTTTTGATTTACTTGCTTACGGTATCATTGCCAAAAACTTTTGAACCACGTTTGAGCTTTTAATGAATTTTATTTTGGGAGTTTTTTTTTGCTATAATTCGATTAGAAATACATGTAGAAACTTGAACCTTGATGATAATGTTTATATTGGACGTGGTAAAATTTCCAAAATCATCGAACGACTTTTGTTTTTAAAAAAAGTGTTTTGAAATCAAATTTAAACGAATATCGTAAAAAAAAATTACCGCACTTCAAATTATATATTACTAAACGACGCTCGGAATCATCTTTCATTAAGCAATGCTTTATCGTTCCTTACAGATATAAATTAAATAACCTTATTTATTCTACCTTCCCAACTTCTCACCTGCAACAGTGGCCACTCCCATCTCCAGTATCAGTTCTTTTTTATTTTTTTTTTTTTTCATATTTTGTTAACAATTTAATATTCAATGGATCGACTACATTTAACATAAGCAAAAATCAAATACACTTGACTTATCAATGCATAGGTAATAAAGTATGTATGATCAATTTAATTTAACCTAATTCTATACCGATTTTGTGAATACTTTTTCCCGAAAAAAGAAACACTTCTAAATAAACTAAATGATTACTTATTTTAACTATAAAATTTATAAATGTAATACCTTTGTTATACTTGATTGAATCACAAAAATATCATCCAAGTTTATAATATATTATTATATAATGATTTAATTTTAAAATGGTACAAACAAAATGTATTATTTATAATGGGAGAAGTTATTATGTACCATGGTACATTACAGTAATAGAAGTAATAATATAGCTACAGCTATATATTTTACTTCTATTATTCATAATTATAAACTAATAAGATTAGTGTAGTTGTTGCGTTGTAAGTTACACAACTCGTAATCAAATTAATTAAATGAATGAACATTGTATAAATTGTACTGCTGCAGTCGATATAAGAAATATTATTGAAAATTATAAATTTTCCAACAATTAAAAGAACACGAGAAAAAGCAAATGCAATTATTATTTTTTTGTCAGATGATGAAAAACAAAATGTATATATATTAAAATATTATTTTACACGTATAGGTATTTCAAACACATACACCGAGTCTCGTTCATTTCGATTAAAATTACGTATTTTATAATAAACACGAAAACCGTTTAGTTTTACACGAATTTTATTTAAATACACGTCATTCTCTAAGAATTTCATTTCAGTTACACATTATTCGCATTTGTGTATAGTTATAGCCTTCAATAAATATACAATATTTTTTTTAAATAATTTACAATATAATTTAATTAAAGGTACAAAATTAGAAAACTAAACTTAAAAAAAAAATCTTAAAAATAACCAGATTTCTTTCAAAATTTTACCACATCTGGAAAAAGCTAATATAATTATAAGTATTCTATGAAAATTTCAAGTCTTTAAAAATATAACTAAATTACAAAAAAAAAATGTTAAAAAAAACCCGTCAATTACATGTAACGTTTTTACTGCGTTTTTTCCCGATTTATCCCAGTTATTACTACAAAAAAATCCCAAAAATACCAACCAGATAAAAAAAATCTACAAAACACCTTTTTTTTTTTTTACTGTAGCAAAATCTCTGGTAAAAAATTTATTTACAGACAGAAAAACGTATTTGAGTATTTATATAAATATCTCGAATTTCCAATATCTTACGACGATTCAAAAATTGGCTATTAAATTATATTGTGACTTTAATAATGATGTGCATATAACTTTTGTATCGGGGAAGGGAGAGGAGATAGGGATCAGCATTTAAAAAATTGTGTTAACAGTGTAAAAATAAAAGTACAACGGAAGGTGGATCTGCCTCTCGAATCCCTCATCCCAGAGAATACGCCCCAGATGGCTTAAACGTCCGAAAATTATGTGTAGGTACGTTTTGTTTTTTTTTTTATCATCGTAACTATATCATAATATGAATGCAATATTATATATGAATATAAAATATCAAAAAAAAGAAAAATACCTGTTCGACGTCCGATGAATATAATATTTTAAGTAGATACCGAATATATTAATACTCGTATATATAGAAACGGATCTACAGGTGTCCGGCTATAAAATGGACCTGGGTAAAACGTAAGCGAAACAAAACGAAAAATATCCGAAATCCAAAATTGACGTATGATTACGTATATAATACGTACACGCGCACTTGAAACGACGTTCGGCTCGCGGTGTGGTCGGCTACACTACTGTTTCCCAGGGGTAGTAAATTCGGGCGGAGAACGGATAGCCGACGCCGCCGCTGCCGCTGCTACCGTCGCCAGTGAGTGAAGCACCTCCCCTTCATTTCTGGGCCGAGTGGTGGAGGGAAAAAAGGTCTTTTATTTTTCACGCGCGTGTAAAACGCTTCCACCGCGCGAACGAGGAACACTATACGAGTCCGCGTCGTCTCGAATACGCAACACAGCAACACCCCGGGGTTCGTTTATTTTGTTTTGTTTTTTTTTATTATTATCATTATTATTATTATTATTTGCCTTTACTTAGCACTACGTATTTTATACACATATGAGGTTTTTTTAATTAATGTTTTACGATTTAGAAAAATTACCTCCTTGTTTAATCGGATCCGACGTTAACGGAAGTATCCACGGAGAGATGTGCGATTAAACATTTTATCCCGAAAGTTCCAACAGACTTGCAAAAATGTTTTTACCCGCATTATTCTGTCCTTCGGTAAACGATATATAAATAAATTTCACAATAATAATTTAGAATAAATAATGATAATCACGTAACGAAATACCGAAAGATAGGTTGTGAATTTTGAGTGAAGATTAGTTAAACTATATTATTATAACTATATAACATATATTTTAGAATACTACGATTTATACGATTTTCATAGAAATCTGAACATTAAATGTTTATAACATAAACTACTACATTATGTTTGACTTTCTTTTTTTTCATTGCAAAGTAAAAGTTATGAATTATGATGAACCTTTAGTTTAATTGTTGAGCATTTTCGCTGGGTCAAAAAATGTTATCCACATTAAGCTAAATAGAAACTAAAAAAGATGGGCATACTTCGCACGACGGGTGGGTTACTGTTGTAAGCGAGAAGTTAGAAAGGTAAAATATAGAGGGCAATTTAATTTATATCTGTACGCAACGATAAACCATTGCTAACGAAAAATTATACTGGTTTCTACAATATTTTTAACTAAATTATAACAAATAAAATTGAAAACAATGGAATCTGCAGTTATTGCGAAAAACGCTCCTGTTTTTCCTACGTTTTTCCCGATTATTATGAAAACAATTTTATTTTGTATTTTGTCAAATTAAATATCGTTAATTTTTCAGCTAAATAGTTTTGATTTCCAATTTTGAAAGAGGTTTCACCCTTCCCTCATCTCCAGCCCTTCTTTTTTTTTTTTGTACGAACAGATTCGATACAACTGAAATATTATACTGTTTTATCGACGCATACACATGGCTGTAATAATCGCTAAGTCTCCGAAAATAAGTATATTATTATAACTAAACACCATTCGTAATCTATAATCGAGTATAATAATTTCACATCATATCATTACACCTCCTTGAAATATTCAACTTTTTTGAGACAGTAAAAAACAAACAGACATACTTCGCACAATGAGTGGGCCACTGTTGTAGGTGGGAAGTTGGAAAGGTAGGATTAGAAGGAAATTTAATGTATGTTTGTGTGCACATAATCATTGTTAATAAAAAACGATTCTGAGCGGAGTTCTGTTGTACATGATTTCTCGTTTTCCTACGTTTTCCCTGTTTTCCCATTTATTATAAAAACAAACCCCTTGGAAAATCAAAAAATGGCATCATTAAAGTACTACTTCAGTCAAATTTCCTTTCAGAAAAGGTGCTACACTTGAAAATCGTAGCAAAGTTGAAAAGTTGTACAGAGAAAAAAAAACATTATTGTAAAACCATGCATTTAACTACAAATATAAGAGTTCAGCATCAAAATGATTCGTCGAATGATATACACTGTCATAGCAACTACTCAAAGTTGGTAACGTCACTTACCTACAAATCTAAAAACCGGTAAAATCACCTTCTCATCTAATTTTCGTAACATACGACGTACATACAACGTAAATTTAAAAGAAGGATAATTATCAAATAAGGTATTTCAAAGCATTGAAACAAATTATCGAAATCACGAATGGACGCGTGGAAACTATTCTAGCGGAATTTCGTAGTTCCCAGATTACCATCATATATTTTTAATTTTAAAATTGGAGTGCCAATTATATTACTTCAAAACATTAATCAACCAAAATTATACAATGGTACTCGTTCAATAGTTAAAAAATGTATGGGTAATCTAATTTAAACAACAATTCTGATTTGACTTCATAAAAGTGAAGACGTACTTCCACTAATACCACTAATTTCAACAGATGTGGCGTTCGAATCCAAACTGTTTCAATTTTCAATACGCCTTGCGTCGCTATGACAATCAATAAAGCAAAAGAACAACTTTAAGTGTTTATGATTTGAATTTAGAAAACGAATGCTTCTTTATGGACAATACATCACATGCTCCAGTCGGTAAACCATCTAATCTTATGTTTATGCAGACACATATAAAAATGTAATACATTTACTTGCTTAACAATAATCAACGATTTTAATTGAAAAACATTCTAAGTTTCCTTTTCATTTCACAGCAATACAAAGATGGATATTAAATTGAATGTTATGTTTGAATTATATGTTTTATGTATTTTCCATGAAATCGTCTGTACATACTCGTGTTATATATTAACGAGTATATAACGGATATTCAATGGGTTCTTTTCACGGGGAGTCTATTGGCAAGGGCAATGCATTTTTTTTTCGTTTAATAAATAATATTATGTTCAACAGAAAAAACATGAAATTTGAAAGCATTCTACTCGAAATTCTTTTCATAGGCAAATCTAATAATAGCAAAGCATTGCCAGGTCAGCTAGTATTATACATTATACTAAAAATTAAAAAAAAAGGTACAAAAATGAACTAGTATCTAATAATTAATATTATATATCGATGGAATGAATATTGCACCCAACCCTGGCTTCGAAGCTGTTGGCTAAAGTTCATCAGCATGTATCATCGAAGTCTATTTTCCGAGAATTCTACTTTTAGACGTCCAACTATATAATTGAATAATGGGTAATATTTTACTACATTGATAATGACTCGCAAATTTATATCCAGATTAAAATATCGACATCAGTAATCCTTAGGGAAAACCTCTTTACTGGCATATTTTCGTTTTATCTGTCTCGTGCGTAATTATATTGAGATAATATTTTGATTAAATATAAACTATTATTTAATATAATGTACAAATATATGGGTATCTCGTATCTACAAAAACCTGTAATATACATAATTAAAATATAGAGATCTGGAATGCACAAATCTGAAATCCAGGTTTTCAAATAGGTACGGATATCGAAATCTGTACCGTACGTGATCGCTAGACTCCACAACCAAGTACGACGTTCTCATTGCTTATTATTATTTCATTCCGCAGGTATTATACAGATAAAGTTATTTGACAAGGACGGAAATGCTTAAAAATTGAACAAGTGTCATTATAATTTGTACTCAATAGTAAAAAAAAAAAGGTTAATTTTAATTTAATAATATTTTTTGTATAGGCGTATAAATTACGGCATTTCGCTCAGAATCGTTTTTCATCGGCAATGGTTAAGCATTATACATAAACATTAAATACTTTATATGTCCTATCTTCTCAACTTTTATTTTTGTAATTTATAAGAAGCCCTAAATAATTTAAAAATTATATTACTAATTTTTTTTTTTTTTAAGTTCATAAATAATCATAAAATATACACATCCAGATGTACAACACGATCTCGTGTTATGTATAAGTATCCGAGCTGTTTTAGAAATTCGAGGTAAATGCGCTTATAAAGCACTTTTTATCGGTGATAAAATTTCAAACGTTTTGCAACGCAATATTAATGATCAAAAATTGTTTTTCTCTCGTTTAACGTTTATTTTTTTCTCCTCCTGTTGGAATGCCCAACCTCTGAAGGAGAATTTTCTTTTTTTTCTTTTAGTGAATCAGTATTGTCAGTGGACCACCGGTCGAATGCTGAGCAAACAAATTTGGGATCGTTGGAAAGAGAAAATATAGTAGGTAGCGATATGTTTTATCTTTAAAATCGGTCGTTTGCCCACAGAAAGAAAATAATAGCTTAAAATAAATATTATTTTGAAAAAACGAATAACGAATTTAATGTCTAATGAACTCGAAAACTAATGTTAGTATTTTAATTTGAACACGTGACGTGCAAAATCCATGAGCTATATACATTTTAAAAATGTAAGTACTAGTTCAAATATTAATCAGTTTATCAAACTGTGATCAACATCAAACCTTTCGCAGTCATGTGTATACATGTCAATATTTTGGGAACTCAGTTTAGATCCTACTAATAATTTAATCTTTAAATTAATAGTGAAAAGTTTTTCAATTACCTAACACATAGCATTGCAGGCATAAATACATACATATACACAATAATTCCAGAACTCCACTTGAGCAATTTCATGTCAAAACTCATTAAATCTAAAACTTCACCAAAATAATACGTACTTAAGTAACCTCAATATTTAAAAACCACAAAATGTATTATAGATTAGTTTATTCCCCATTTACCTAGAAAAGCAATTATGAAATAATATTTTAGCGTTATAACTTTGTTAAGGGCACATTTCGTTATATTTGATTTAGTTATTATTAATATCAACATGTTCATTTATACGTGGACGTAGATTGTGGACTACGTGATAATGATACATTATACACCTACACAAAATATTTATAGTTTTATATGTACAAGGAAATTAAATTATAGGGCGTTTGAATTTGATTAGAAAATAGGCACACAATTATACATGATATCCGTAAATCATATATTATTTACACACAATTTATTGATTCAGTGGTGTAAACGAATTCACATTTAAATGCAATTTTACTGACCATATGAAAAACTGCCGTGTCATTATTGTTGTCCAAAAAAAAAACTATATTATTTTCGTTGTTACGTTATTATTCAAGTAGGTAAGTAAGTATTATCAACACGTAAATATTAATTTTGTTGTAGAACGAAACAAAATAAGAAAAACATATTAAAATTATAGCAAATTATATTTGACTCGAATATTTTATACAAATGTGAAAGTTATCGATTTACTTCTAAATTATTAAACGCATTTAAGATAACTATACGAATATTTATAAATTTTTAAATAACCTCTTACAAGTTATAATCGTACAGATTCAGTTAAAGTGTTTCACAAAGATTTTCAGTGATCAAATATAGTGTGATGCGATAAATTGCTTCTATTAGTTAAAATTAGGTTAATTTTTAAAGAAAGTTCCGTACGGAATGTCTAAAATTTATAATATAAGTGACAAAATAAATGGTTAATATCATAGATTTTATATGCTGAACATTAAATTTATCGACACTCACAACGTACTCGCCACTAGGTTTAGCTAATATTGTTAGTTTATAGTATCATCATATCCGTTATTATTACTGCAGCTGATATTAATATTAAACTAACTAAAAATTAAAAAGTACAAAATACTGGGCGGAAGTACCGTACTGTCAAAATCGAGTCTACTGTTATTATATTATACATATACTTATAAAGTCTTGCATTATAAATATGTAAGGTATCACCCTCTCGAGTACTTTATTTCTTTTTCAACTCATGCATTATTTTAAAAGTTTTTTATAGGACATGCTATTTTGAAAAATATTAAATAACAATAATAATAATAATATTATTGCAATAATGAAAAATATATAATAACATACCAAATTTCACAAACAAAAACATACCACTTTTGGTCGTGTTTGAATACAAACAAATAATATAAACTTATCAATAGGACTTGTTTTAAATGTCTAAATATTATCATTAATAAATAACCTGAAACTTCTAATAAATCTTTAAAAATTGAAAAATAGTGAAAAATGAAAAATAAAAGTTTTATATTTATATATATTTATATTTTTATATTTAGCAATAGATATTATTATTTATTTGAGCTCTGTTTATGCACAATAGCCGTTATAAAGATAAGATAAAAACATTTTATCTTCTTGAGATCTTAAATAGAACGATTCACAGTTTATATTGATAATAATGAAGAAAAAATAGGTACCTAAAACATATTAAAACAAGTTTCTTGAAAACAAAGTATTCGAGATATTTTGAATTAAAAACCTAATTTTAAAATATTAATTTGTTTAAATGTATAATGTATAAATATGCACAGTGAAAACTAATTAAATTACTAAAAAATACTAAAAAATTAAAAATTAAAGTTTAAATTTTAAAAGATTAGTTAGATAGAGTTATATGTACTTGAAAAGCATTCTAGTTTTAGATCATTAAAAAAAAAACGCACGTCTTATTGAAATCCGGGCCTTACTTATAACTAAAGACCAGATTTAATTGCATTTAAAACACACAAAAATTGAATATTGTAATTATATAGTTGCACCAAAAAATACGTAACAATTTCATAATAAATTGCACTACAAAAATACAAAATGTATACAAAAAAAAATAGATAAATGTTATTTTTTTGAATTAAACTTGATAATTAGATACATTTCCAAATTATGTTCATTAAAATTAAATCTGTTATTACTCAAAATATGTTTGTACGTTTGAAAATCTACACGTTCTACGTCTACATTAGTTATTTGTGCATATTTAAAACAATTCAATAAGGTAGTCGTTATATCTAAATTAACATATTTTTTACCTGACATAACCTCATAATAGGATTTTTTTATACCTTTCATTTTTTTAAATTGCATACTGTAATGATATATACAATATGATATATATCATAATTTTAATATTGGTCAACTAGTTATATCATAATATAATATTATATAACATCAATATTATCTACACTGCATTTTATTATAGTGGACACTACTTTATTTTATCAGTTTATAAGTCAATTTAGATTAATATAAAATAGTACGTATTACAATTAAATATTTCATATAATAATAAGACATGATAATGAGAACCGGACAACACCACTCTACACTTTTCCCCTCTCTTTCTCATAAAAGACTCCTCGATTCATTCGGCCACCGAATCCTGCCTTGGCGATTGGTCATCTTTTTCGTCTTCCCGCCAGTGCGTGTTGTTCCGGCTTCCAACATTCCGACATCATCATTTTCAACTAAATCAAGTGTTTATTTTATCATTCCTACTACCTATTCTCATCAACATAATAAATAAATATAATTATACCTGTATTCNGATAGGTAAGTATATTATTGTTACCCTTCATAGTTTATATTTTATATTAATTGTTTCCTACCGTCGTAGGCTGTAATAAGTAATCTAAGTGATTAGTGGATATACATTTAGTTGCTTTGTACCCCCTTATTCACTTAATTTTAATACATTCATTTTTCTTTAATTTTTTTCCCATTTGGACCAGGAATATTTATTAAAATATCTTCAATTTTTCTAAAAATATCCATGTTTTTCAGTAGTTCACTATTAAATTCTTCCAAATTTTTAAGATTCATGGATAACTTGTATAAATGTAATTTTATAAATGCTAAACCACATTTGACTGTATTATTTTGTACAAACTGTTTCAGGTTTTCGACACTTGTAGCATCATCTGTTAAACTTTTAGTCACGCTTTTAAACTGTTCAAAATTATTTGCATAGAAAAGTGCAGCATTTAACCATATGCCCCTCCTTGTAATAATACAACGCCAATAACGCCTACCGACTTTTACAGCGAGCATTTTAGTAAATCAAAATTATCCAAATTGGATAACAGAGAAGATGATAAAATTATGTATATATATATATATATATATATATATATATATATATATATAAATTGATAATGGCTAACTAACCTTATCTACTTATAACGAAAACTCGGTATGTCATAATAGCGTTTTTATACAATAAATTTAACTGAGTTAAATATTTTGTTCATTTAAACACGAAAAATTGAAAAAACGTGGAAAATTGTATTATACAATTAAATAGGCATAACACATAAAATATATATCAACTAGACACTTGATCAGATTTGGTTTATTTTAACTGCAAAAAAAGTTGCAATATCAATTAAATCCGATCTTTACTTATAACTATTGAAAATATTAAACTAGAAAAATTATGGCTCATTATTACATATTTACACTATTTACTAAACTAGGTACAAACAATTAAATATATAATTTACAAAATAACCCCAAGAAAAGGATTTCTTTTATATATATAAATATATATTTATGGATACACTTTGCTTGAATTATTACACAAAATTTTCATTTGCTATCTTAAGTCAAAGGAGAGAAGGCTTGAACAAAAAATATGTTATATAATATCCTGAGTGGAACATTTTACTAATTTATCCATAGCTAACAATATAGTGTTGTAGATATGATAAATAATTGAAACCACTTGTTGGAAAATATTTAAGAAAATATTATTAATAATTCAAAACAAAAATTAACGGAAAGATTAATAACCTCGAATTTCAGGCATTATGTATGCACGATGATCTTATTTTCCCGCTATGGGTATATTATAATAACGAACTGCTCCATTTTCAAAATAATTTACTTTAGTTAAGATATTATATTTCCTGATTATAGTATCGCACTTCTTTATCAGACGGTCTCGGGTTTATCCGGTTCATCTTGTCTTCAAAACTGAACTACAGCTGTGGTTGTAGCTATACCTACGCATACGTAGGTAGTAAATATCTGATATCTGACTCTAATATCCAATTTCCATTCTACTTAACCGCTACATACATATATGTGATTAATAATTTTGATGTCCAATTAACGATGCGGTTTAATTACCTATACAAGTACAGATGACTATACTGCAGCTGTAGTACCTACCTAATACGCGCAGTATTTGAATAGACAAAGTGTTTCCTAAAATCACTTATTTACCAAATTGAATTTTGAGTTTCACTGCATTTAATGTTTTTAGACAAATACTATTAGAAAAAGGTATTAAAATACAAACATCGGCAACATGTAAAATTTTAAATCGAGAATAACAGTGAAGTACTTAAGACTTTTCAAGGGGTGAAGGTCGTTCTTTGGTAAAAAAAAATAAAAATCGTCATGTACACATAATACCTACGATTTAAGGTTATTAAACTTCATTATTTAATTTTAATAAAATAATAAAGTAAAAACAAAAATTATTATTTGTTTAATACTCGTAAATAAATATGAAAAAAATAAAAAATGTATACATAAAAATAAAATAAAAAAATGAATGAATGCGACGCCTGGAGTATTATAATAAGTGTATTATACGACCGGTTTCGAATTAAAAATTCATCATCAGGTATATCAACAGTCAAAATGTAAAACACGACTGAATATAAAAAAATTAAAGGAATACATGGGAATACATACAAAATTCAATAATTGGTTTTCTATTAGAGCAATATTTTCGGTAGAAAACATATGCCATATTAATTTAAAATAAAGTTGAGTCATAATTTGAAAAAAAAATCGTATTTTTCATCATTTTTGGTTTTTCCCAATTATTATGAAAACTACTTCAGACATCAAAAAACGACAATTTTATACAGTAGATATATATTTAAAAAAAAAAAAATCGATCTCTTGTAATTGTTTGATTAGCGCAATATGTCTGGTGGAAAACATAAGTAGCAAAACTTAAAATAATGATATCGGTAACGCCGTGACGCGCCGTAAATATTTGCCTATAATTATCTTTCAGGTATTTCCCAATCATTTCGAAAAATCCTTGGAAATACAAAAAATGATCAACTAGATAAAATGATCTGTCAGAAAAAGTGATACACTTATACTTCGGAACAAGATTACCAGTAGAAAAGACACACCAATATAAAAAAAAAAAAAAACGCACCATAATAAAACCAATAGATTCATTACTACTTTCTCTAATCTAATCTAATATAATATATGTATTGTTTCAGAGTAATACTCATTTTACAATAACAGATCTATTTGTAATGACTTCAGAGCTACTCGATGAAAATTTGTCATCAAATTCTAAACAGTGTTACGAATCATAGCTTCCAATTATCATTTCGATTTAAATTAGATGTATTCAAAAACACTTACATTTTTATTTTATTTCAAAATTTAGTATAGCAAATAAAAGACCAAGGGGGTGGATTCGACATCTAGAACTCCCCCGTGGTTACGCCACTAAAGGATATATTAGGTATTTATTAATATATTTATTATAATACAAATATATAGTCGGATTGTATCAAATCCCAACATATAATACATTTATAAGAACACATTTTCTAATAAAACGTTAAGACAAAAATATATGTACGCCAATAAAAATATATTATTATTTATTAGGTTTTTTTTGATACGTAATAATTATAAACAGTTCACGTAAATATAAAAATAAAAATAATTACCTATATTATATTATGGTAGGTAATAGGTAACATACAATGGATTTACATTGAAGTTTTATTTTATAGAGGGTTCATAGAGGATTTTCATTTGAATTGCTTCCGATCGAGTATACTTCAATAAGATTTTTTTACTCTATTAGGTATTCTTTAGGGACATTAAAAAACGGATAGGAACGTTTTTAAATCATATACTCGTGTTATAATGTAAAAACCCCCATATTATTTATTTACTTGCTGAATAAGTTTGTTTACATATTTTCCTCGAGGCTAAAATTTATAACAATGTGTATTTAGTATTATCATGGGGTATCATAATATAGCAACGGAGATTAAAGTTTTAGCAAAAGTTTTCGAATCTTTTATTTTTCTGGGCTTTTAAAGAATTACAATATCCTAAAAAAAAATTAATTTCTAAGAAAGTATAATATTTTAGCCATTTAGAATATTATTATTATTTATTTTATGACGTCAAATTGATCAACATTAATCTTGGACTTTTTAAAGTAGAGATTGAAGAAATTGCTTATTATAAAAATATATATTCTTTGATAACACCGTTATAATGTACATTGTTTTTTAAAATGTAAAAATAATGTGATAAACTGATAGCTTTAGGTACCTACTAAAGTATTTAATTATTCATAATGAGTTACCTAACTTAATAGTGAATAATATTATTTTTCTCCTGTAACATCTCATCGAAATTAAATGAATCGTATCCATATACAACTGAATATTGTTAATGGAAGATTGAGGTACTTAATTTTATTTTTTTAATTGAACTTTCTGGGTAATTTTGGGTAACAAGGGAAAACACAATTACCTTATACTACTACACTCAGAATCATTTTTCGATGTATACAGCATAGGCGTACGCACGGGTGCAATTAATAGGCCTATAGCCACCTATAACCACACCAGAGACTTTTTCTTTAGATAGGTACTAGGTACTTATTAAAAAGAGCCAATAACTCATCTTTTTAGAAAATCAGAAATTTCGGACGACTCTAGAGGTATTAACTATGAAAACAACACCAACTAAAATAATCTATACCTGAGTACATTGGTTCCTATTTTTAATTAATTTTAAATTATTCTTTAATCATTTTTAACTGTACTTATAACAAGCTGTTCTTGTGAACGTTCCTTTTCAAAATTGAATATAGCAAATACAAAGTTATGGTCTACGATGAATAAGGAACGACTAGAGGCGTTATTATCTATTTATTAAACAAGAGATTCTAATTTAATTAATTATGATAAGTTAGTTGTACAAATAAAGTTCAAGATTTGAATAGCAAGAAAACAAAGATTAATACCAACTTTAAAAAGGTAATTTTAATATTTCACTCAATATTTGTACCGTAAATCAGTATATACATTTTATTTCTACTTAGTTATGTTTAAAAAAAAATAAATAAAAGCCACACCTGAAACCTGAGTCTAAGTGTACGCACGCCTATGGTATGCAGTATAAAAATAAATTATATTTACCTAACCTATAAGGCTACAAAGCTACGACACTACAACAGTGATCCAGAAGTGAGCCGTATCAATTTCGTATATTTAATAATATACCTACTGCTCGTACTCCGTAACAAAANAAATTAAATTTGAGATTAAAAAAAAAAAAAAATGTATACATTAACCGGAATTTCGATAAAATTGTGTCACGTACTAGCCCTGCAGCCGAATATGGTTCAAGGAAATTACAAAAAATGTTCAGGTTGTCTGGTCCACTTTTATTTAGTTCAAGTCAGATAATCGACAAATTTAGACATTTCACCGAAAACCTATTTTCATCAGTATCTGGATTAATAATCTATAGATATTACAATTTCATATCGTTTATATTATTGTAAATAGAAGTATGAATACTGTAGGTAGGTATACCTATTAATTTGTTTTAAATGTTGGATATTATTAACATTTAAATATCATGATTTAGGTTAATAGGTTAAAAAGAGGGAAATCTCGATATCCGGCTGATTGTGAATTATCTGTTTGATGATGGGTCGATAAAATAACTGAAGTAAAATATTAGAGAAAAAATTAGGTTGACCTGACTATTCATATTTATAAGGACACTTGGGTATAATAAAATTTGCTTTTGTTATTATTTTGCGTAATAAGAATAATAGATATTATAATAAAGTACCTACTAGAACAAATAAACGAATACTAAAAAGAAATAAAAATCGGGCATAGTTCGCACGATGGATGGCTAATAATAGTAATAATAATAACAGTTTTCTTGTCCGTGAAAATCAAATTATCATCCGTATCACCAAGGTAACCTTTGAAAAAACAAAACTAAACAATTAGGTATTCGTA